AAATGAAAATGAAGAAGAAAAAAAAGAAGAAAGTAAAAAGAAAAGAAAAAACACGAAATGGTAACCATCTAAAATTTCATAGTTGTGATAAATATCTATAAAGATTATCAAGCACCAAAAATAAATAATATCATGTTCAAGAAAAGGATATATACACTTTGTATTCTTCTTTCGTGTCCTTAAATACTCTGCCAGGCCTTGGCACACTGAAGAGCCTTCTCATTTGCTGGTTGAACGCACACATTGATCCAAGGAATACTCATACTCTCTCACCCCCCCCCCCCTCTCACCCCCCTCTCAACCCCTTGTCTCTCTCTCAAAAATACATTAATGTTATACTCACTATATCATGACTCTTTTGTTCTCCAGATGAACGATTTCATTAAAAAAAGTGCCCTCAAATGTGTTACCTGGAGGCTGACTAGTTTGATGTATCTGTTGCAATTCAGTTTCATCATTACCAAATTCTCCTTTTGAATTCATTCAATTCAATAATTGCCTTCATTAAAATGTGAAAATAAAATGAATTGCATTGAATTAAAAAGATAATGCATAGCAGCCATTTGCTGAATTGTGCATTTTTTTACATTGTACAGAAATATATATCATCATATAAAACAATTAACATAACATTTGTATTCACAAAAATTGTCATGATATATAAAACTTCATTTTCAAATAGCATTATCAATCTAAAACATCTGTACATGTATTTCACTTTGTAGTTTGTCTAATATAATATTTGAAAATTGTCATCATTGCGATGTATCGAACCTATGATCCAATTGCAGTGTCCTGCTAGACATGACATTAGAGTTATGTGCATTTTGATAGCACTTTTGACCAGAGACTACCTTTATTTCAAAAGTACATCAAGTCTCGTTTTTTTCTTGCAAATATAAAGTGACCCTAAATATTCTTCTGGTGCTCTTGGAACACTTACCGGTATAATGTAACAGGAGTCTTCTCAGTCATACACTCATACACACCCTCTACATTTACCCCCAACCGACCCCCCCTTTTCAGCAAAAGTCCGGTGTGTAAAGTCAATACGGCTTGACCTTTTTCTTTTGTATACAAGCCTTTTTCAGCACCCCCCTCCCCCCCTTTTCAGCAAAAGTCCGGTGTGTAAAGTCAATACGGGTCGACCTTTTTCTTTTGTTACGAAAAGGACATTTTGGCAACACGCATGGGGTCCGTCCGTTCTCGGGGTGGGGGGGCCAGGCATTTACCATAGTGATTCAGCCATTTGTCCACAAGCATGGACTTTCATTTGAAACTGAAATTCACTATATTGTGACTTAGGGCAAGTTTAAATTAGCTTGCCAATGATTACTGTGTTGGAACTATAATGAGTGCACATTGTGAATTGTTTAAGGGGGCCAGTCTGGTAAAATACAGTGAAATGCAAGTTGACAAAGAATTCTGAATAAATCATTACTTGATTAAGTAAGCTCCTATACATGTACACCATGCATTTCTGGAAAGCTGAGACAGTGGAGAATCAAAATATTTTTGAGAAATTTATTTATCTCATTTACGGTAATATGCAAATTATATGCATACTCCTCAAGACATGCATATATTCAAAAATATTTTTTGAATATATTCAAAAAATATTTTAGTCCTCGTTCTTTGTACAACTACTACTGTAATTGTAATTGTAATTGTAATTGTAATTACAATATCAAGGCACTTTGATGTGATTTTGATAGAACATGGTATGCACAAAAAATCATATTAAACCGTGTCCATAATTTTCATCATTTACATGCAATTATAATATTTCAAAGAAAAAACAGAAGTTAGAATGATTTTTGGAAATAATTTTGCTTGTGAGGTATGTATGATTGTATGTGCAAAAACCATCATAGGATTATTTGATGTATGAAAACAAATGTTCCTGCCAATTTTGAAGTAATTCTCATGAATATTTTTCAAGTTATAGCAATTTTTGTCAAAAATTCTAACACAGTTTCCAACAATAAATTTGATCCAAAAAGGGATAAATTGACCTGCAATCACCAGTTCAGTTGCACTAGAGTGCCTCCATCTGTACACAAATGCCTGGACCCTACTAGGCAAATAGATGGCAGCAAACACATTAGTAACCTGTCAGTTACATCCAGAGGTCCATCGCAACACTAAAAAGTGGTAAAATGTTGACTGTTTTTTAAAACAATTTTACAAGTATCACTTAAATATTAAAAACTAAAAATGAGATTCTGTTTTTTTTTACCAGACAGGCCCCCTTAATGAATTTTTTGGTGTAGAAAGATCCAGCTAAAAATAAGATAACTCTAAAAATGTATAGAATTATAGTACGGATTCTGATGCAGGCTATCAATTTCTACCAGAATAAAGAAAAAAAGAAAAGAGAGGGCTTTTTAAGTTGATTTATTTGTTCATGGTGGCTTGTTTTCTGTTTACAGAGGCATTTTTCGAGTTTAGGAGCCATACCCTTATCCCCCATCATTATTTCTTTTACTGTCTAACTTCTAATGCTTATGCTGTGGTACTTGTAGTGTTTTTCTGGCTCCAAGAGTTTGCTCAAACTACCTGCATAATTTTGGGTAAAAGAGGATAGAGATACATGTATACACTTTCATTTTTGTCATGCATGCCTACGTACAAATAGAGATGATAATACGGCCAATTACAATTTACATGTCGTTGGCCTTATGCCAAAAGGGCCTTAACCTGATTTTGGGGTTATTGAGTTATTAACATCACCTTGTAGATTTCAACATTCTCTTTAAAATGATGTGCTTCACTTGGTGAAGTTCGATTTATTTATTAAGATAAATATGAATTTAAAAAGGCCCTAACGCGTATCTCATCTTTTTCCTTACGCAAAAAAGGGCATTAACCTACACGGCAAATATACAACATTATTGTATCAATGACAGATTATTTAGTTATTTCTATTTGATTCAATAAATATCAATAGAAAGTAAAAACACCATTTGAAAATACAATTAGTCTACAAAAGACACAATATACTTAAAATAATCACTGTAAGTATATATCGTGAATTTAGCTCATGAATTCTGAGTGAGATCTAAGTAAGATGTGGATGCATGAAATGCGACTGACTCATGGATTACGCAGATGTCAACATATGGGACTGTAATGAAAATAAACAACAAAAAAGGTGTCCTAAATGTACGATCTCTAAAAAAGTACTTCACTGAAAGCTGCATTATATTAATAAAAATACTCAGATATCACGTTAAATCAGTTTTACCAGTAGCCATAGCAGGGGCTTTCTGGCAAACCAAAGGTGTCGCGAAACAAGAAAATTTCTCTATGCCAGAAGGGCGCTCACTACTATAACGGCGGGTAAGGGCCCTTTTAGCATAATGCCGTGTAGGTTACGGCCTTAATCCTGGCATAAATACGCTACATTCAAGCTATATGCCAAAAAGCCCCTAACATGTTTTTTGCACATAGCATGAAAACTTCTGAATATTTAAAAAGAAATTTAACACATTTCATGAAAAACTTAATGACTGAACATATTTATCAAAACTGACTTCAAAAACAAAAAAATTACCACAAACTATCGATTTTTAAAGAGGCCAAAACTTAAAATGTGATTATCTCGGAATGGCCAAAAATGGTTAAGGCCCTTTTGGCATAAGGCTGACGATGTACATGTAGTTATATTGTGAATTCAAAAGCATGTTAAATTTGGACTCAAATATCTCAAAGAAACTTATGTGTATATGTGTACATTTAAATTTGAGAAAAATATCTATTAAGGGATGTTGTAAGGTTTCATAAAGTCAGAGCTTCATATTGATAATTTGAACCTTTTTTTAACAAGGAATTAGCTGAACCTTACAAAATAATAAATTTCTGAAAGTTTAAGCTGCAAATAATACCTATAAATGACACAGGATTTTTATTTTACTGTTTTAGTGCTCATGTGAAAACAAATTTGAGAAAGTATTTCTCTGAAAACAGAGATCTGAATAGTTTTTTTTGTTTGAAATTAATCTTATTGATAACACTGCCGTCCCATCATGCATACATATCAGAAAATGCAATTGAAAATTTAAGCAGGGCTCAACACTTACAGGCACATGCAACATTCACACCCAAAATTAGTCTGGATCCCAACATTTAAAGAAAAAGAAGAAAAAAAAAGGCTCATGCATAAAGACTCTAAAAAGTTCAATCCTGACCCCCTTCCCAAAACATTAGTGTGAACGGAGCCCTGTCTTAACTGAAGACGTTTTGTAAGAATCTATCATCAAAACATTGATTAGGAGGAAATGCCTTCCTTACTCTTTGATGCATAAATATAGAAAAGGCTGAATGTAAGTTGAGTCACAGTCTGAGATCAGATAATCTTTTTCTTTAACATTCAGTTTTCGTTATGAAATTTCTTAGAAATAGTAAAAAATGAATATTTAGCATATTTAGTGGAATTCATGATTACTGTGTGTAAATAACCTACACCATGAAATTAGTAACAGGACAGTTCTTTTTGTTCGCCCTAATAGAACTGTTTAAAATCAATATTTGTACTATATTGAAATCAGACATTACTTAGTTTATCTATTCTAATATTATGGAAATAAGTTACTTGGACAATTAGAAAGGTTAATTAACAGCAAACATACCCTGTTAAGAGTCAGAAGGACTTTAAACTTGAATACAGAATTAACACCCTCTGGCTCTCAGCAGTAGATATTCAACATTAATTTCTAAACAATTAACTACTGGTAATGATAATACATCTAGAAACAAACTGCCATCCTGCATTAGTTCATCTGATTATCTGATTTATTCTTTGTGAGTTGTGGAAGTCTAGGAAGATTATTGTTTACAGTTCGGTCAATATAATAATTGGATTTATATACACATGTAATATACTTTAGATATCTTCTAGTCTTCAGATGTCTACTTCAGATTGTCTATTCCTCTTCCGTCCCCCTTCTAAGGTTTTGTTCCCTCCAAACTTAACATTCTTTCGGTTCATGTACTTTAATATCTTTTATCTGTAAAGTTGATTTTCCATTTACCACCCCACCCCATGTCTTATAGACTGACCCAGTACCTCTGTAGTCTGTTTTTCATATGATACCATTATACCAAGGAATATCCTCCTTGATTATACCAGCATGTTTGCAAGGTCAGGTAGACTTTCACTTTCCTTTAGGTGCTGCTTTCCACTATACATGTATAATCACCAGCATTTGATTCACAGGAAAAATGATACCTACATGTATAATGTACTGTTTGGTACATGGAATTGGAGTTGTTTCGTTGCCTGTATGAGGATCTATTTGTCAACTCTGTCACCGTGTAGAGATTTGGATTATTTGATGTTATATCAGTCAGACTTTTTAAGGATTGAGGAATGGTTTTGAGTGTATGAGCTGGGAGCATGTCTTGCCTAATCTAAGAAGGGTGGAGAACCGCGAGTATGCTTGTCTAATCTTCTCTCACACTCCTACCCTGCCTTCGCATAATACACACTCCCTAGCACACACACACATCAAGCTTAGGTGGAAAAGTGATTTCCCAAGATTTTTCTTCTGGCTGCTTTTGTTGTCTGTGGAAAGAGGAAGTGTTCCACCATCTGTGGTGACCTGGTACGGTCATGAGAGGTCATGTAAGGTCAGACTGAGGAAGGAGAGTGACACATTCACCAACAAGGTCAGAAAACACCCATCCTAGCTGAAACATCCTATCAAGCCAGCCAGCCAGCATCCAGCCAGTGCTATAGCTAGTTAACCAGCCTTATCTTTTATACCTCACATGCACACAACCAGATGGTGCTTCATTCTTCATCTCTATACCAGCAGACACACACTCCCTCTGGCTATAATTGAACACTTTCCCCCCATTTTTAGCTACCAGGAAGTTATACAGCACTAAGCATGGCCGGTCTCAGGTGAGTACAACAAACCTAAAGTACTGTGCTCATTGTGATTCTTAGGGATGAATTACACTTTTCAGTTTTTCCCTTACATTGTCGTCTGTTCGTTGGGCTGGACACACTGAATCATATTTCATAAGTCATTCTCACTGTGTTCCTATATAGGGATGATAGAACAATATGAATGATTATAATACAATCATTCATCATGGTATCTACATGTATAACTATAAGGACTTATGGAGTATGTCCATGTACATGCATTCCTATATGTAGGCAGACAGACATGCATGCAATTGGACCTGCTGTGAAGAAACTCTCTCATAGCTTGTGGGATTTTTTAGTGGTCAGCCATCTTCACAGCTTTTTTTCTTCTGCGATGTCATGTGCCTTTGGAATGAAGCTGCGCAGATGATTCTCAATTATATTGGATCAATTTATGTGAACCTAAGATGAATGTTTGTTTACCAAGCTATCATTTTCAAGCCTTCTGAAGTTTGTTTGATGGACGTGGGACCTAAAAAGGCTTTCTTGAAATGGCAAAACTAAAAATAAATAGTTGTAGGGGTTCTTTGAAATGAAAGGATGTAAATTCCTTAAGAAGGACCATTTCACAGATATATTCTATTTTCTGTTGCTCACATATTTTCTTTTTTGTTTTACATAAAAGAAAGTGATAAAATTTCGTTGCAAGTTCATTCATACGAGCTTTTAGTCATTGGTCATGAAAAGACTGACAAGGATATTTAAAAAAAATGGTAGTTGTGAACAGAATCACCTTGATTAAATTAAAGGCATGCTTTGTTTATAGTGCATTTTAAATATCAATCAAAGTCTATTGGTTATTTTAGTAATATGTAGAAAAGAAATGTGTGTTAGGTTTATGTTGTAGGTCACTGGATGATAAACAATTATCTGCGATTCAAATGAACAGTCTTAGTTTTCATAAAATTTTCTATTCATAAGACAAGCAGAACTATATTATTTTGACATACTGTACATATGCAATATTTATATGCATCATGCATGTGTAATGTATGTGAATTATATTTTCTGACTCATATTCTTGTCGTCATGGCTTGCAGAATAGATAACAGAAATAAGTTTTCAAGAGAGGAGATGAGACTCTCACTCAGTGTAAAGATGCTAGTACTGATATAGTGCATGCTGACAAATCTCATTACATGCATGCTTCGTTGTGAGCTAGTGGGAAGAAGATTAACATGAATTAATTCACATTTGAATAAACAATTACAGTGATGGAGCACCTGCATTGTGTTAATACAGTTTTCACCCAAATAAACAATTTACAAGATTGCTTCAACTTTCTCAAGGCATAGCTAATTCATGATTTTTATTAGTCATGCAATATAAGGGAAAATGTAAAGTGAAGTCAGTTGATGACCATTTTACTTTGTGATACAGGCTTTACTTTGCAAATAGGAAGGAAAACATATGCAATATCCTGATATTTAGTTGTTTTTATTCAATTTGCGTAATGTTATTCCTAGCATGAAATCAGTTTTAAAGTGAAAAACAATATTTGTCCCCATAGATTACTGGTGGTAGATCTTTTTTTTGTAATGAAAACAAAAATGAAAAAAATGATTATTTTTGTGGGTCTACTTCACCCGATAACATTCATGTATCTTGATACACTTAACAATTAGTCTGCTTAATACATGTATGTTTAATCTAATCTAAATTTAAAATCAATTTGGGCGAGCCTGCATGAAACTGAAAAATAATTAAGAGACTTTGTTGTGTAAATTTGTTTAGAAAAAAATGAAATGTGCCCACTTGAACTCATGATAGTACATGAACTGAAATATTGGGATTAGTGCACAAGGAAGAAAATACATATCAAGGAAGTTGTATTCTTACATTAGGTACACTTGTCTTGAATCCAGGAACTTGTGTCTGATATGAATGATGATTATGATAATAATAAAGAATTTGAAACAAGTTTGACCTGAAATGATGCTATGATGATAATCATAATCTTGGCTGGCTCTTCATGGAGATGTGATTTTAGCTCAAGCAATGTATTTCTTATATTCAGTCAATGCTATCCAATAACATAACTAAATCTTGGGCAGAATTCAACTACATGTATGTAATGTTTCTTAATGTTCTTGTAAACAAATGTAAAAAAACAAATAGGGTATTTTTTTGCTTTTATATAAAAAATGATAAGCTGTGTAGGTCCTATACTCTTCCTTTGGGATCTAGGCAACAGTGGAAATAAAAGGACTGGGAGAGAGGGTTTGTACTGAAAAGCTCCAAAAGAGCTGTGATAAACTTTAAAAGAGATTTGATGAAAAATGCTTTATTGAAGAGCTTTTGTGAAGAGCTTTTGTTAAGAAACTTTTTTTTATAACTGCTAGGCTTTTGCACGTATGACCATTCTCTACCTACATGTAAGTCTCCATACATGTATGAGCTGTCATAGGGGGGTGATTATGCTCACTTATGAAAGCAGAATGAGCGTTTTGAAATGCTCATCGTAAATGCTCATTGTAAACACAGTTCCACAGGCTAATTCAGGCGCATGCTACGTTGACCCCGGGAGGACAAGTCAAGTTGGGACATGCGCTTTTTTGAAAATGTATACTATGATATTTTTGTGTACATGTATGTGTCGCGATCTCGACCATCACCTTTCTAATTCTCGGTCTCGATTTACGGTTATTTATTTACGTCCATGTACTTCCTACCATGGTGGGAAAAGATCGATGTGTGTTTTTGATGTTTTTGTATGTGTTGTTGACAAGCAGAATATTCTGCTTATGGTGAGTTCATGAAACCTGAACAATAGTTGAGTTCTTGTTTAAGACCGCAAATGCCTTCAAAGTGCATGGTTATTGCTCTTATTCTTTTTTAATTTCTAGTGCCCTTTTAGAACCTAAAATTGCTATGAAGGTAATTTTAGACCCCAAAATGTGTGAATTTAGATTGAATACGATCATACCAATTCAGCTCCACTTTAAAAAAAATACACAGGCCGGCTGGTTGTGCATTTCATAACCAACACAAAGCCAATATTGGCACTGGCTGGAATAAAACGTATAAGGCGCTATCTTGTTTTTCAACGGCTGGTCCAAAATTACCAAATATTTGTGGGGCACCACAAATATAAAAAATGGATATACATGTATTTATGGATATTTAAGCCGTCTCTGAACCGATTTTGATCAAACAAAGATGATTTTGTCACTTAAATTGAATATTCTTTCAAATTTGACACTCAGTTTTTAATTATCTCACAAAAATATATGTGTAGTGCCCTCTGCAACAAAACTCAACTATCCCTTTAAAGTTGATATTCATTGATTTTAAAACTAAATTTATTTTCATTATTGCAAAGTTGAAACTTTGATTCGACAAGGTTATCAAAATTCAATGCTTGGAAATATTCGAAGTAACGATTATTATAAATTACAAAACGCTTAAATACAGCCCCGGCATAGCACCGGAAGAGCTCTCCGAACGCTACTGAGATGTGTGAGATCACAGTATGGACATGACTTGCACAAGCAGACGATGCCCCATGACATCTCACACATTTTCAGTGCCGGTGTTTTCATCTTTTCTTGAGTCCTTTCTCTTACTTCACTACCGTCAGGCTAAATGTATAATTTATTGCCTCACTCTTAACCCCGCGCATGGTTTTATTTTGATGACAAATCCAGCGATACAAAAATAAAGGAATCTGTCGCTTGTAAACAAAATTAGACGCCATTGTATATTCAGCTGCACACATCGGGGTATGTTCGGCGTTTCAAGAGGGAACAAATGCCGTCCTTAATATCATTCCAGGGGGTTTTCAATTTGAAAGTCTGGTTTCTTTGATTGTTAATTAACCCCAATCCTGTGTATTTACAAGCAAAAGATTTTAGTTATCAGAATTGGGTCATATCCCCTTTTGAATGGTTTGACATGCCATTACATTTATATACACTAAACTCATTATAATTTGACAAATAATAGCTTTGCAGTTATGTTCATTCTCTATGGGATGTCGTCTGCTTGGGCAGTGTTGGTCCATATAGTGACGTCATTAAAACATTGTTATTTTTCCGGCGAATCTCTGGTATATCCCAGCTGCTATGGAGGTGGTTGTATTTGTATTTTTTATAAATCACCCGATATGTAGTTGACCTATAACTTGTACGATGGCCATCTGTTAGATTACCAGTTTCTAGTCATACATTAGTTGACATATTTGGGGTTTTCTTTGAATTTCAACTTTAAGTTGTGATGCATTAACAAAACGTATTGTATCTGAGGCTTCATGTCTATTATACATGTAGCATGTAGGAAAGGAGGGGTGGGATGATTTTGCCTGCAGTAGTAGGGCATTCATATAGTTAAATAGCTATGTAAGAATATTCAGCATTGAATGTGTGTTCATAAGTTCATTGCAATACATAATAACTATATATTTATTCAGGCAAATGAATAAATTCTACAGGAATTAACCAAATAAGTCGTGATTTAGTATGAATAAGAAAGTAGATAGTGAAATAGATTACTGTGATACACAATTCTACATAATCTACTTTCATATCCTGTTACCATTACAACATAGTTTGGGGAATAAACTCAAATAGGAAATCTATGGAGTTGCTGAAAAATAGAATGTTTATGTTTTCAAGCTAACAACAACAAAAAACCCACATTCATCAGATATAGATCTTTAGATAGATGGCATGCATATTATTTCTTTCTTTCTCTCAGAATGTTTTTTTCTCAATATTTTCCTGTTATATTAACCTGAATATGTATTTTCCGAAAGGCTAGAGCTGACTTTAGATGGAAGCCTATTGGGTCTGAGTTGAAGATTATTTCTTGCACATAATTTTTAGGTAGATGAAATACAGCACATTCATGCTTAGCTGACATTTGTTATTTAAGGAGGCATAATTTGCTAACATGCTGTCATCAGTACCAATTAGTAACACATGCACATACCTTCTAATGGAGATAAGAGCTTACTAGATGCAAGTGGGAGT